TATTAGAATCCATATTCAAAGTCATATTAATTAATGTAAACATATTAATTAAAATTAAAATATATTGATATTCATTACAAAACTTTTCATATTTATTAACAACTATTATTTTCTACATTTATTTCAAACATAATTACAAGGCTTTTATTTAAATAATTGCAACAAAAAACAACAATAATTATAGTTTATTAAAACTTTAATTATAGGCATAATAAAATAATATAAAGTTTTTTGTATTGTTCAATAAATATTATACATGAATACCTTTCATAAATCTACTGATTGTATTAAGCATTGGCACATAGAAAGTTAAATATTTGTTTTGACCAGGATAATTGCCAATTGGAAAAGTACAAGTATTAATCGGTTTGACCATGGCGATTCGTTCGGCCGCATCCACTATTTCCGCGTATAAATTCATGATTCGTTGAATATAAATCTGCGCAAATTGATCCGCAAATATTTTAGGGGCTTTGGCTAAAAAGTGCAATCTAATTACGCTACACAGGAATAAATAATAATTTATATTATATATTAGTTGCTTGTGATTATCAATCAAAATGCCTACCAAATCACATCAGCCAGAGTGGTGTTTGCAATATTAGCATTATCCAAATAATTGACCACGTTATCGCGCAAAGTAATGGCCTCTTTGAGATTGATGTTTAATCCACGGCCCAGTTTGACGGGGTCTGCGAACCCGCAAAAGCCCCGCAGTGTTTCGTAACCGTCGGGTCGGGCGATAACAGTAACCGCTTTCAACGTTTTCTCTCCTAACGTATTGTAATAGTTTTGAGGAATCGACACGTTTTGTTCGGTCCTATGTGTGGACACAAGTATTTGTCATCAAATGTTATTTTAATATTTTTATGTAATATTGATGTAAATTAGCAAATGAATGAATGAATGATTGACATACAATCGAAATACACCCGAACAAAAACTCTTAGCACCCGCTTCGGTGTCGGGAAACGGTCGGCCGTTTCCAATACCGAGCGCCGGACCTAATAATCTGTCGGTCACCACATCCGCACTTTCAGCCACCGGTTCATCTGTTATATAAAAAATATTATAATTATATTTATTATAAATTTGGAAACAACAACAATAAAATCGAAACAATCTGTAAGAATAAATACAATTTCATACTTTTGAGTAACCTATCGATTGTTTTAATCAACGGCAATAAAAATGTGCGGTACGTAATATTGGGTGCGGGCGTGTCGATGAGTGTGCAGTTTGCTCTGCCATTTACCACGCTCAAACTTTTGCCAAAATCTACAGTTTCACGATAGAAAACACCGACATTGCGGACACTATCGCGCGCCAACTTGTCCTCAAACATGGCCTCAAATTTATTGGTGTATAAACTTGTAATACTATTTCAATAATAAATAAGTTACTATTTTATCAATATTAGTATAGTATTCATATTTTCATTATTAATATAGTAATAAAATGCAACAAAAATAAGGTAAAAATAATCAAACAAGTCATACATACCAGACAACGTCAGCTATAGTCGACCGGTTAGTGTCCAAACTCTCCAAACTGGTAATAGCGGTATCTCGCAACTTTTTGGATTCAATCAATTTAGCATTCAATGCTTGACCCAATTGACCCTGGTCAGCCGAGTTGCAAAACCATCTAAATATATTGTAACTATCGCTTGCATTCATATCACCAAAGAATGGTTGCATTTTCGCGCCAAATGTGGCGTAAAATCTAACCGCAGAACTCAATTCTTGTGGTGATCTAACGTTTTGTTGAGTGTATTACATATAAATTAGTACAGATTTACGCAATGTCATTATTATCTAAATCATATGTATTGGTTACTTACAAAGTACTCTCCGGACTATTACATAGGGCTTTGGCCGACTCATCGGCAGTAGGAAATGGACTCCCGTTTCCTATGCCTAGGAATTTAGCCATCATTTTGTCGTATATCTGTTCGTCGCTCTCAGATATGGACTCTAATTGAAAATATTTTAATTTTAGTATTTTAAATAAATAGTTGCTATAAAGTTGTAAACAACAGAAAATAAATTATAAACAATCTATTAAAATATACAATTCAATGTATTAATACCTTTCATAATGAGACGACTAAATGTATTGTCTATTGTGTCCAACGATCGTTTGTCTGCGTCTATCCATTATATTTCATTTATTAATTTATTACAAACTTTTTTGTCTCTCTCTCTCTCTCTCTCTCTCTCTCTCTCTCTCTCT